GGAGGTATTTAAAAGACATGTAGATAAGACACTTAGGGACATCGTTTAGTGGTGGACTTGGTAGTGTTAAGTTCACAGTTGGACTCGATAATCTTAAAGGTCTTTTCCAACCTAAATGATTGTATAATTCTAGGATTCCATGAGTTATGGTGACAATTAGCCCAGAGAACTAGACCAGATACTGTCCAAGGAAAATTCTCTGAATCATATGTAATGCAGATATAGAGAGCTGACCAATTATTTGTCTCATGATCTGCTCCTTTCTGCTGGGTTATTTGTTAATGCAGACAAACACACAGTATGTGAGGTTTACTATGAGATGAAAGGTATGTCTGACACTTAACAGCAGGACTATGAACAAATGCTGATATTCAATGCTTACTCTATCTCAATTAACTTTTTTTGTTACCTGTCTTTATTGAGAACTCCTCTAGTATTAGCTATGTATTGGAAACACACCTCCATATATCTTATGGATTAAGTAAACTCCATTCTTCATTTCTGCACTTTAATTCATATGGATATTCAGCATTTTATAAAGGTGAATTTATTTCTCTGAGTGAACTAAATATAACATCATTTAATAACATCAAGATTAAGAACAAAATATGAGATCTTATAGACCTTTAAAAAATGTAATCATATCTCATTTTTTTCTTTCATATCAGATTTAAAGCTAACTCCGAGAACTGAACACACCTATCATTCCAGCAACTGCTTATTCCTCCTAGGACATATGAAGGAAATGACAGCAACAAATTTTGGTAAATAAGGGAGATAATATCAACAGGTCTTTTTTATCAGTATCTTTAGATGTCAGAAGGAATTGAGAAAGAAAAAGGAATTAAGAAATGAGGGTTAAGTGTAGTTAAGAAAACAGCTGCTGCTTTTAAGTATAAGAAGACTTGGTTTCAATAGAAATGTTTTTCAAAGCATGCTATATTGTTGTTTTGTAACTTTACTTGTTCTTTTTTTCTTTTTAACTAGGTTTTCTGAAATGCTAATCAAAATAATCCAGGAAACATTTTAAGAGCCAACAAATGAGATCAAGAAAATTAATTTCAGCACATACTGGTCTCCACCACAACAACTGTTATGCACAGCCACTTTAAAAATTGTGCTGCTTTCTGGAAATGTCTATGTATTTCCTCCTACCAACCTACATTAGCCAAAAAAAAATAGTAGTCCTGATCCTCAAATCATGATGTTGTACAAGCAATGATCTTCTGATAGTGGTTCTCCTTTGAGTTAATAAAAAGTCTGGAAATAGTGCTAATGAAGAAGAGGAAGAAAATCTCAGTGTTAGAGAAATCTTAGGAAATGATGGGAAATTTTATTCATCATTCACATCTCTGTTAAAAAATCTGAAAGTACCATGGAGTTAACCAAGAAGACCCTATATATTCTGCTCTAGGAAACGCTTATTTTAATAAATAGCTGATTACAGGCAATAAAATAAATAATTTTTTTTATTGTTATGAAAATGGATGTTTTAATTATCATTGTTACTCATGTCACTAAAATAAAGCAAATAAAATTAATGTCATAAATAAATAAAAAATGTAAATATCCTAAGTTTTCATATAAACAGAAACAGAACAACTAATTTCTTCCCCCAGAAATCGATATAATGTTTTCAGTATAAAAAAAAATCAAGCACAATAAAATGTGAGTGGCAGTTTGTAGTCTCGGAGACACAACAGTTATGGTTTTTGTCTTTGAATGTTACTTTTTTTAAACGATTAAAATGATTTTTTCATATTTGTTCACCATAAAATATTGTGAAAGATTTATATGTTTTTAAGGTTTTCCAACAGAATTACTTCAGGAGCTCTCAGTTGTTTTGTTTTGTTTCTTTTTCAATCTGAGTATTGTTTCTTCTCACCTGCTATGGAGTGAGAATAATACTAATCCCGAACTCAGTTCCCCACTACATTTGGTGAAGGATCAAACCAAGATCATTACATTAATATGATTACTCACACAATGCTACCTTGTTCTTTAGTTATTCTACCAAAAAAACTGAGGTTCAGAAAGGAGGGCTATTGTGTTAGATGTTCTCTTTGCCATTTACTGTCCCCTGAGATTCAATAGCCATAAATTACTATCCTTCTCCTTGCAATAAAAAAAGCAGGAACAGAAAAAAAAAAGACCAATAAGGGTTGTGAACACTATCAACATATTTCGACAATGTTAAGGCTGTCATTAGAATCATGCACTACTGTCCACAACGTCATGGAATTTTATTTGCATTGTAATACAATTTACATTTGAGTCAACATTTTTGTGATTTAAATCTTACCTGTGTTCTAGTTAATTTCTATATCTAATTAGGTTCACCACTAACTAGTTTTAGGTTCTGTTGCTAACATTTATCTTCTTATTTATTCCACCTTTCATAAATGTTTCAAATTACACATAACTAGAATGAAAATTAAGCTAACACAATGATTAAACAAAACAATTTGAGTAAGACTTCCAATAAAATAACTTGTATTTTTAAACAAAACACTTGGAAAAGGATTATTTTATCCTGTAGGATTTCATTAATGTAATCTAAGTGTACTCTAAAGGGTATCTTCAATGCTTAGAATAGAATTACAGTGGTAGCTACATTTTTCAGGAAGAGGAAAGGGTTTAAGACAAATGACAGAAAAGGTTTCTGGCTGTGAGGAGAAAAGCTTCAGAAGTAGAAAGTGAAATTTCAATTTTTTTCTTACAATTCTTCAGTGACTGAAAACAAACACCAGAATTTATTCATACGTTGCACAAAAAATGTGTTTCTTGGAATATTACAACACCTGCTCTGTAGATTTTCCTCCATTTTCCCACATTCTACCATTCCTTTAATTTCCTCCATTTCTTCTGTCTTCTGACAACATTTTCTTTCTCAACCTTCTTGAACTAATTTCTGACTTCTGATCTGTTGTTAGCTGAAGCCATGCTCCCATCTTAAGTCTCACATTACTTGTTGAAGAAACAAGAACGGAACTGAGTTAGTCTGAGTCTTTCCAGAATTCTCATTTTTGCAAAATCATGTAGCACAGCAGGCAGTGTTGCTGCAAGAGCAATTATCATAGCAATTACTCTTTCCGTTTTCTAAATTTGCTCTGTCACTAGCTTTTCTTGGTTTTGTTTTTTTTTTCCTTAACAAGCTATACATGCTTTTTTATATGCTATATATGATGTACAATAAATTCTATTTCTGTAAGTACAACATTCATGTTCTCTTCAACAATTTGCCACCGTTAAAACATTGAAGATACACGTTTGAAGATTTATTTTAGCCCTATTAGTCTGATACAAAATGTATCTTTTAGATTTCTGTTTTCCCCTCTAGTCATATAGCTGTTTTAATACATTTTTTCATATAGTTGTTTTAACACATTTTCTTAACTGCTTATTGTTACCAGGCATTATAGTATATAAACTTAACGAATCTTTGCTGAGAAGTGACAAAAAGGTTTGTTTCCTCTGAAAATTGATTACTTCAGGGTCTTCTTTTAACATTCCAGCAAAGGTTATGCAACCTGTTAGTATTATTAAGCTTATGTTACATTTTTATTTCTACAGGCAAATGTAGGAGAAACTAAACTCATTTGGTATTGATCTTCACTTGGCATAAAGTAATTTTGATAAAATTCTTAAACACAAGTTTTGTTCCGAGGTGCTGTTCACAACTAGAAGACAATTTTGCTAGTTCTATCTTAATATTTCTCTGACGAAAAATTTTCACATTTATCCAAACTTCAGTAGCTGTAATCTTTGCAGATAAATTAGTAAAAATGAATTTTAAAAAGTCAGAACATTTTGATTACACACATACTATGATGCCCCCAAACTTTTAGATGTAAAACAGCCTGTCTTAGCATTTCTGACAACTTAGAAGAAAAAGAAAGTCATATGTGAAGATCTTTTCTTTTTTTCCCCCTCTGCTAAATGGTTTTCATTGTGAAAGTGAAACGTGAACAAAGCCTGTCTGTTCCTTCAGCTATGTCAGGAAACATTCCAGCTTCAGACTTGTAGATTGATAAGCAACTTTTTTGCTCCTTCAAGAGTCATTCAAATTTAGCTAAAATGAAAATTTGCACCAAATAATGCTGTATTGCAGAAGGAAAATTATTTGGGATGGACAGTAGTCTAAAAAGGTAAACGGTAATCTGTACAAAGAGGTATTACAATAAACCCCTGTATTTAACGTACATAGTAGTTCAGATTCTTCTGAAAGTCTCCTTTTATGGATATTCTTTTACACTATCGTGTCCCCACAAATGATAAGGTACAATGTGACTTTCATATTGCATTCTACAATCAGAACATTCATAGCTTTGATTTCTACTGCACCTAAAATGTTAATTGCACATAGGGTTAAAACTAATGTCTCTACAGTTAACACAATAATCCGCATCATAATAGGGAATAACGAATTAAAAAGAAGCCTTGAAATTGTTTCGCAGAGATCACATGTTCATTTTATTATTAAATGTTTCAGGGACTGGTATCTGAGTATTTTAACTAAGTGAAGTACAACTAAAGGGTGTCAAATTCCGTAAATAGTGCCTGGATACTGATTGTCTCTCAGAAACAAGGTTGCAGTGCTCCTGTCAAAGTTTCCAAGTTTCCACAACTACTTTCTAATTCTACAACTACTGAGTTCAGGTTTACTGTGCGGATACTTTACTGAGGATATGTATTAAAGCTGACACATTTGGAATCAATCAGTCTTGCTGTTTACTTATAGGTCTACTTTAGAGACATATACAGCAATTCAGTGACACAGGTTTTGCATGTAGGGAAGACATTGAAAAAGAGATTCAGTCTGTGGAAAGGTAACCGTAGTTCTAATTTGATAAGAAAAACAACTCAGTCATAGACACTTTTAAAATGCAAAACTCTCTTCAATGTCTGTACTAACAGAAAGAGACAAGTTGATTCACTTTGCTTTCTTTTGTCTGCTGGAGAGAAAGAAAATAGGTAAGCCATGACAGTAGTATCCATACCTAAACATCTGGTCTCAGTTCCGCTCCAGAGTCCGGAAGACAGACATTCCCTCACAGCAGAGCCAACTAGCATGTATCCTGAGTCACAAGTAAATATAGCTGTAGATCCATATGTGATTTGAGTTCCAATCTTATTCCCATTTGGAGGTGTAGGAAGTTCTCCACAAGAAATAACTTCATGGCAAAACCGAATCAAAACAAAAATGTACAGCTGAGTATCACAAACACACATACAGTAATATTTATCAACAAGTAATACTTCTCAACCAGTCAACCAGACAAATAAATTTCACAGTTTGAAGAATTTTGCACAGTAGAAAAAATAGACTAAAAACTCTGCATACAAATACTATTATTTCCCCAGAAATAATACTTTAGAAAGGGGAGGGACACATACATCAGTTAAAATTGTCTCTGTAAAGTTAAAAATTGCCACTATTCAGAAAATTATTAATTGCTATTTAATTACCTCAGTTTTATCAATTACTTTCTTAATATTAGAATATCACAGTTGTTGCCATTTTAAAAATAATCTTTGTTTTCTTTGGAAATATGTCATTTTTATCTTCTAGTTCATAATGAAATGCTTGCCCTAGCATTCACACAAAACATTGTTACACTGAATGAACAATGTGCATAGAATTCCTTGCTATTTATTTAAAATTCAAAGCACCTTTTAATGCAAAATCATATTTTTTCTTTAATAATTTTCTTTTAATAATTAGTAAAAGGAACTTTACTGTTAGTAAACAAGATGTTGGATTGTCAAAGTGTGAAAGCAGCTAGTGAAATTTATGCTAAAAAAACACTAAAAAAAACCTTCCCAAAACATAGTGAAAAGTGTTTGTCTTTTAAAGGTAAAAGATTTACGAATACATATACAGTATGTAAATATCTGTATACACAGAGAGATACATAGATACAGACATATATACAATATTTTTAAGAGTAGCAAAGGTGAAATACTGCCATTAACTTTTAAAAATCCTCTAAATTATAAATGAAATTTCCAGTAGGTTATGAAGAATTAAAAAATTAAGGTTAATTTCCAATATAATATATATATAATTAATTTCCAAAACCACAGTAATATCCCATTCTCTCAGAGTGTATGTTATGTGGTGTTCCACAAAGGAAGAATTTTGGGCCTTCAAAGCATACCCAAAACCACAGAATTTTGAAAAACAGATGTCTAAATTTAGATAAAGAAACCTGCTTTTCACAGGGGTGGAGAAGGGGAGAAGAACTGTAGCCACACATTTAACTTGTTTTAAGTATCTGAATATTCATTACTTAGTTTTTTGAAAAGTAGCTATTTCAGGTTATCAGGATACAAGCTAGCGGTAGGAATGGTGTGGATTTGCACAATATATACTAACCACCTGAAAGAAGAAATTATTTATCAAGTGTGCAGACAAGACACAAAGTTTTTAAATTTTTCTGGTCTATGCAACATTCCTGCCCTAGAAAAATACATAGGAAAATGTTCTCTATTACTTATTTGTACCTTTATAGATTTAGGGACCTTTAAGATCCAAAAGCGTACTTACAGATATTTCCTTGAATCTAAATCGAATGGATTGTATTTGTAAATAATAGCCTTTAGAATACACAGGAATTCCATCCAGGAAACATTTTTTCTCATTAACTTATTCTAATATTTCATTATTTAACTTCTAATTCAACCAGTAAACTATTTTTATCTGAATTCTGTGCAGCAGATTCAGATACAACACGTACTCACTTTGGCAGTAAGGTCGTTCATTTCTCCAACTCCAGGTGCCATTAGCAAGACACTCAATTGATGCTGGTCTCAAACCATAATACCCTGGATCACAACTGAAAACTACTTTTGTTTTGTACTCATAATGTGAACCATTCACTATTCTCCATCTTCCATGTTCCAGTGTAAAAGAATTGATGCTTGGACATGTAACAACTTTCAAAGTAACAAAAAAACATAGTTATTTGTGGGTTAGTACAGGCAAAGTAGGAAAATCTGCATCATTATTAATTCAGAAATAGATTTTAAACATGGTGATATAATGTTTTAAAAGTAAGCCTGTGTTTGAAATTGCCTGTGGTTAACAGGTACAAGTTCTCTCATTTAATTAATAATGATCATCAGCCCAGACAAAGCAGTGACTGTGTATGAAGAGCTATACAATTGCTGTAGATAGAATCTATAACATGGTTGAATACATTGTAGACTGATAGTCTTGGAACTCCTGTGACACCTCACAAAAGACATCAGAATCTTTACTAAAGTGTTAACTACATTTCAATACAGGAATTATTTTTCTGCACAGGAAAATTCTATGAGATCTTAAAGACTCATTTGGAGAGGCTGCACATTGGTGACAGACAAAATACTATCCATATCCAAGATGGTTTTACAGCAGCTACACATTTTTTATCTCATGTCTTAATTTGATGTATTCTTCCTCCAGAAAGCAAATGAAAAACTTTTGCAACCCTAATCTAATAGAAAAAGCTAAACAAGCATAACAATTTTTTTCCATGGTCAAAAGGCACAAAGGAAAATCTTTGCTGGATACTACTTTCTTTCTCTCCATTCAGGTTGTTCTTTAGATGATAGAAGAAAAGGCATGAGGGAATGGAATTTATAAGAACAAGAAAAAGAAAAAAAAAGGAAAAAGGAAAAAATCCTTGAAAATTATTCTAGGGTTTGTTTCGTTTCCTTTCCAAAACTAATTAGGTGAGATAATCAAAATATTAATGTGCATCGGACACTCTGACATTTCTGTATCAGTCTTAAAATCACCGAGGGTTTCATACCCCATTAATAATTTTGGTGGTATCCACTTCTCTTTGGGACTGAAAATACATTTTCTCTTGAGTGACATTTTCTCTAGTTTAGGTGGTGTAGAATTATAAATAATAAGCAGCATTTTCAAACAGGTATCCCAGAGTACCAGAGACTTTGCAATTCTGGTGAGTAAATAGGGTTTGTTAATAGTATATGAACTGTGCAGCTCTCACTGAAGAGATGGCTTTTACATAAACTTCTGCGACTGTTAACTTTGATTTACCTGCAAATTGTTTATCACTTTGAATGTATTCTGTAATCTTTAGTGTACTTCTGCTCCTGTAGAATGTTTCAATATATATCTCAGATATACATTTGAAATATGTATCTCACAATAATTTAATACCAGCAATTATTCATAGTTTAAAGGAACCTGAAGCTGAAAGTTTAAGTAATGTGAAGATTTGCACCTTGGACAAACAAATGCAGTGAGGTTCTTCCTCACTGGAGTTTTTACATGATACTTACCTACACAGCGAGGTGTTTTATTGTGATTGCTCCAGGTACCGTCCGGCTGGCAGACTGCAGTAGTAAATTCCTTGGCTGACAGTCTATATCCATCATTGCAAAAATACGTAACCCGGGTGCCAACTAAGTAATCTGTAGTTAATATCCCACCGTTTAATGGAGCTTTAGGAATTCCACACGATATTGCTGAGTAAAGAGAAAGACATAATTATTTTGTATCTTCTTCACTCAAAGTTTCTGCTCATCTCAAGGGGTTTATGCACTGTAACACCAAGTCTTAAATGCACAAAAATTACTTTTTAATATGTATTTTAAGCCTACTAGTAAATTCCCTAAAATATTTTAGGGAATTAAATCTCAGAATGTTTTTCTCTTTGGTGGAGGAGGTTAAAAATAAGAACAAAGGTTCATAACTCTGCAGCTATCCATTCAAAATGCAGAAGATAATCAAAGAAGAGGCAATAGAGAATATTTGGAAAAAAACTGGTCAGCATGGTTGAATGAGTAAAACACCAGTCTGAGACATCAGGAATCTAATTTGTATATCAGGTTTCTTCCATCAGACATACTGTGTGACCTCTGGCAAAGCACAGATATCAATTTTCAACACTCTATGTTTCCTCCTGCAAAGCCGAAAGAAAATACCCTTTTGAAAATACTGAGAACTGGCAAACAAAAATGTGAGCCTTTTTTTTTTTTTTTTTTTTAATTATTAAAAAAAATGTAATCCTTTTTTTTTTTTTTTTTTTAATTATTCGGCAGAAAGAAAGCACCAGGAGACGATCTGGCTCTAAATAATGCTCTGTCTCTTTTGGGAATAAAATCAAAACTAAATCTTTTCCACATTTTAACACCATATATATAATGCAGGTCAGATCCAAAAAAAAAAAGATTTAAGTGCTTAAGACCTCAGCTCTTAACAGCTGTACTGTTTCATCTGATATCACTGAAGACAGACACTAAGCATCCATGACATTAAAATGAAAACATATATCAGATATTTTGTAGATACAGCCTGAGATGTTTTGTATCTACCACTGAGGTTAATTACTTTTTCAGTATTCAAAAATCTCTGTTAGTGACTTGATAACTTTTGCATCACGTTATCCACATTAACAGAATCAGTCTTGTGTCACAATAAAAATACATCCCTTGCTTAACCTTAAATTTTGAAGAAACAGTTTTCTTCCTAGCACATCAAATGCTTGATAACAGCCTTTTGTATAAACCACAGAGGTCCCAAGGAATCACTCAATGACATTTTTAGTTTAAAGCAGTTACGAGCTGAATTTTATGTGTATGGAAACTTGCTCAGTTTAGCTTTTAGTTAAGGGAAAAAATGTGAAAAGATCAAGACAAGTTATTGCTACTTCTGACAATTTGACAGGAAAAAAATGACAAATATTGAACATTCGAAATGCCCAAAAAACAGGTCTATCACAAAAATGTTTGGTCATTTATGTCAGCTTGGGCAGTGCAAAACAACATCATAACTGTAATTGCAACTGAAACATTAAAATCTCTACTTTGTTCGCAAACTTCAGAACACAGTTCCAATTCCAAAGACGTGCACATACGGCCCTTGGAAGACCTTACTTTATTAGTTCTCAAAGACCATCAGTACATTCTAAAGACCTATCTGAAATTTCAGAAATCATCATTAGGCGCAAGTACTTAAATACCCTTCGCAATATGTTAAAGCATTATTAAAAGTTTCTATGATGATTACAATTTCCCAAACAGAAATCGAATTATTAATCCTATAAATGACCTCTTATCCTTGAATTTACTCTGCCTCACTTAAGAATAACACTTATCAGATTCCACCTCCTAAGGATACAAGAAAAAAATTATCAATGGACATATCAGCATAGAGCTAATAAGATTTATCAGAAGTGTTTCAAACATAGGCAAGACTATGGAAACAGTTCAGTGATATACTGCTCTGAACTTAACTACTTGGACATTCAACCTGTAAAGAATTAAGAAATTTTATGAAAATTAAATTTGCTGTAGATTGCCTTGCAAGCCATTTTAAAGGATGCCAACTATTTCTTCGGCATTTAATAAATTACTGAATTTTCACACCAGTCCCAATACAGTTATGCATTTGGAAATAAACAGCAGTCTATTTTGATTAAATAAAATACTTATTTACCTTATACATAGCTATATTAATTGTTCTAATGTATATGAATATGACTATCTCAAACCTATATCCATGTCTAAAGTAATATAAAGATAGAAGGTGTTATGCTCTACATATCAGACATTTGTTCCAGACCACTACAAATGTACTTTAGCTTAATTTTTGAGGAAATCATAACTCATCAGGTATTGCAACTCACCAGGTATTCTTGGTTTCTCTTTTTTTTTTAATGCTTTAGTATAATTTGCCTAACAATCACCCGCTTTGCCACACATTTGCTGTTACAGACAAACATTACTGAGCTATAGATTTCTTCTGGGTATAATGTCATGTTTTAAACTTTACTTACTTCACATATCTACCTATAATTCCTGTAAAAGGCTTTGCCTGTTATCCATATATGATATTATAAATTAATAATACTGACTTTTGATGAGGCTTGGGTGAGACAATGTCTATTCGCAAGATAAATTTTTCATAATTTAAACCGAGAATCATGTGATGTTGGGATAAACAATTAAAAAGTAAAAAATAACCGTGAGAAAAACAAATGTTTTAAAATACTTTGAAGTTTCTGAGATCTATGATCAGTTGTAAATATTCAACCATTTATACAAATTCATATTAATTCTTCTACTCAAGCAAATCATTGTAAACCTACTCATTCTTTCAAAGGCTTGTTGTAATCAATGCTCATAATTTAGTTAACCATGGGAATCTTATTTTGACTTGTGATCAGAGGCTTAATATCATTAAAACTGGCATGGATACATGGATGACAACACTTTCACATTACTATTCACTTAGTATATGTCTATATAAAAACAATAGCTAATATCTATAAAACAGAACAGTAAAAGTTTGTAATTAATTTGTATTATTGTTACCATTATCCTAATACAATATTAGATTTTGAAGTAGTTTCCTGTTACTTCTTTTCATGACAGAGGAAGGGTACTTTTTTATTAATTTTGAAACACGTTCCAGGTAATTGCTGAAGTCTGGCATGAGATGTTTCTTTTTGGTTTCTTGCCACTGCTTTGAGTCTTTTCTGCTGAGATATGTTTAGTTCTATAAACAATGTAAAAAAGCTTACATCCAAGCTTAAAGTGTGTATCTGGATTTTTCAGGTTCTGTCAGTCCTGTAGTGCAAGTGATTTGAAGAGTGGCTGGTAATATCTATTTAGAGAGTCAGAGATCAAGATTTCTATTCACATAGATATAAGAACAAGAACTTTAAATATTACTGTAACATTACTCATGAACTTGGGAAAAAAAGGTGTGGTGGAAAAGGCTACTGGTATTCACTAGTTACAGGAGAAGATTCGGAAGTGGTAATAATGGTACAGATGCAAAATTTAAAAAGTAAAGAGAAAGCATTAGTTTAAATACAGTCATGAAATATTTTCAGGCAGTAAAAAATATTTGCCAAGAAACGGACTTAGTATTTCTAAAAAAAACCCCACAAATCACTAGCTGTGCTGATTTTAGAGGTATCATTAAAGAATTCATAAACTTTGAGTTCTTAGACTTCTCATTTCCTATAGGATGATGCCAGTAACTACTACTGTGATTTGACCGGTAATCTTCATTTGAGAGACAGAAAACAAATAGATTAAAATGAGATGCATTGTTATTAAAGTAATTGCAAATAATTCTTTTTTTCCGTTGCATTGCATTTTTAAAAAAAAAAAAAAGGCTAATACTTCTTTTTTTTGTGTTAAATGTTCATCTGTCACAATCCTATGTTCAAATGTGTGAAAACTGATTAAAACAGCTTTTCTAGCTATGCTATTAAAAATAAAGAATGTGAAGTAGAAGGCAAGATTGTGACATTGTCATATGATATCTTCTGGGCAAAACAGTAAATTCTCACGGAGAATTGTAATAGTTGTCAAAACAATGCTCATCGTCTATATCACGAAGTTCTAAAAAAAAGTAGAAAAAAGTGATAGAACTACTTTGTGGTGAAGCTGTACTTCTCAGTAGTAGGGGGAATAGCAAAGACCTTGTGCCTTGTAAATATTCTCAGGAAAACACGGAGAAGCTTAGATGTATGACTGATGTACAGAAGCAGCTTATTCCTGAGGGTATTTACAGCAAAAATGTGTCTTTAGGTTGAACCTGAAGAATTTGCTGTTGTGAGTTGCAGCTACTTATCATGACTATGAACCACTTTCCACACACAATGACTTACTGGAAGAATTGAAATTAAGTTCATATCATGTCTCAAAGCTAGCTCTCACTAAATGCACAATTAGAACTAATTGTTATTCAATTAATACATACATTCAATAGTTTTCTTTGCACTAACAGTTGGTGCCAACAATATTTATACTTGGTCAGACACCATGAGATTACTAAACACTTAACTCCACTTATTCCTAAAGTATTATCTGAGTATTGCAACTATTTCCATTATTTGAATTTGTAAGTGGTTTGGTTTTGCTTTAGAAATGTACAGTTTAAAGACTTTTTGTCAAAAAGAACTCATGGGAAATTAACGTGTAACATTTCTATAGCATTTGTCTCCACTGGTCAACAGGAACAAAATGTACACATTTTGAATAAACGTATCTGCAAATTTTCATGAAAAAAACCCATTCTAATAGTTCACTGAAAAGTGACATAGGTAAGTTATTTGAACAATAGCATTCCTTTCAGGAAAGGAAGAATTAGAACACAATTGTGATGGGTATCAAATAACCAATTCCTTTTCCATGTTAAGTAGAATATGGTTTATTTATATATGGCAGAAGAAAGTAAATATACAATTAACCCGATGAATTATCTTTTCAATTTCAATTTAAACCATGAAAGAATAGAATGGCATCATAGGCAATGTTTTTTGGTCCAGTTCCTTTTTCTTGGAAAGATAGCATGTTTCAGGTCTTTCTGTTTTTATATAATTTTTGGACCATGACAAGTGGTATTTACTAAATATTCAATTTCTAATGAACTTTTTCAATAATTTCATATTTTAAATTTGCGGGGTTTTCTCTCTCACTGTGATGTACATTATTTTTGGTATCTGCCAGTCTTAGAAAAACCTGCTGAAATACTCTTTCTGAAAAATACATTTGTTTCTGTAAGTTTTATTAGGTAGAAATTTCTGGTAGAGAGACATGACCATTAAATGACTACTTGCTATTCATTTTAAGGCAGAAAACTGATAGCTTACATTAGAAAAGGAAAAAGAAAGTTTCTTAGGATGTATTATTTTATAATGAAGGAATTTACCTTGACAAGCTGGGACTGGAACATCCCATGAGTAATAACCATATGGAGACTTCCTGCATACAGCAGTACTTTTCCCAATGAGACGAAAACCTCGGTCACAAGCCCAGCGAACCATACTGTTGAGCTGTCCACCTGTCTGACTGACAATGAAACCATGTGGAGGGGACTCTGGAGTGCTACAGTAGAGAGCTTTAAACATAAATATTGTATAAATAAAAGATGCATTTGGAATCCAGATCACAGTTCTTGACAAGTTCTTGATGAATTCAGTGGACATCTGATAACAAGCTGAGAAAACATCACTGAAAGTTGTTGTATTTTGTATCCTGATCATACATACATCAAGAAATTTCACTAAGTATAAACATGAAAGAGTAGGCTTTATAAGCACTTCAGGTTTTAGGAGCCTCAGAGACTCACTTTTATAATTTTTTCTTTTACTATCTTCTTTTTTTAAACCAACTCAGCTACAGAATTTTAGTTCATGATGAAATTTATTGCAACTGTATACATTTCAGTTGTATACAATGTTTTTTTTAAGAATGAAACATCAAGGGCACACTGCACATAATTCTTTTCAAATAAACTTTTCTTTCTGGTCCTAAATAAGTTGTTTCTTTTGAGTTCTGTGATACAATGAACTGAAGTTGCGAATCTCTAATAGATTTTAATCATATTTATGAAAGTCACCATTAACCTATGGCAAAACACTGCCTTTTATTTTGAGAGATTTCTTTAGAACACAGAAAGTCCTACAGAATTCTTATCTAGATGCTATGAAAACAAATTCAGAAATATTTATGAGAGCAAAAAATTCTTTAAGAGATATAGTTGTTACCTGAGATGATTTGCATACTTTAAGACTCTCATACATTTAAGATTGCTGACTTATTATACTGTCTTTGTGCTTGTATTTCTTTTAACTCCCTTGATTTTTAAGTCGATGAGTACACTTGGTTTTGGCTACCTTGCCAAAGGAGTGGACCAGACGGGACTTATTACCTGGTCATCAGTTTATGCTAAAGGTTGTTTTTTCAGAATTTAACTTCGTCTCTGATTGTTTTGGTTCAAGGACAGCCAAGACTGGTTAGCCAAGATGGCCATTTTCCCATTTTGTAGAAAGTTAAGTTGGAATCACAGAATCATAGAATGGTAGCGGTCGGAAGGGACCTCTGTGGGTCATCTAGTCCAACTCTTCTGCCAAAGCAGGGTCACCTACAGCAGGCTGCACAGGACCACGTCTAGACGGGTTTTGAATATCTCCAGAAAAGGAGACTCCACAACCTCCCTGGGCAGCTTGTTCCAGTGCTCCATCACCCTCAGAGGGAAGAAGTTCTTCCTCATGTTCAGACGGAACTTCCTATGCTTCCGTTTGTGCCCGTTGTGCCTTGTCCTGTTGCTAGGCACATCTGAAAAGAGTCTGGCCCCATCTTCTTCACACCCACCCTTCAGATATTTATAAGCATTTATTAGGTCCTCTCTCAGCCTTCTCTTCTTCAGGCTGAACAAGCCCAGCTCCCTCAGCCTTTCCTCGTAGGAGAGATGTTCCAGTCCCCTCACTATCCTTGTAGCCCTCCGCTGGACTCTCTCCAGTAGCTCTTCATCTTTCTTGAAGTGGGGAGACCAGAACTGGACAGAGTACTCCAGGTGGGGCCTCCCTAGGGCAGAGTAGAGGGGGAGGAGAACCTCTCTCGACCTGCTGGCCACACTCTTCTTGATGCACCCCAGGATCCCATTGGCCTTCTTGGCAGCCAGGGCACACTGCTGGCTCTTGGTCAACCTGTCATCCACCAGCACTCCCAGGTCCCTCTCTGGACAGCTGCTCTCCAGCAGGTCTGAACCATGCCTGTACTGGTGCATGGGGTTGTTCCTCCCCAGGTGCAGGACCCTGCACTTTCCCTTGTTGAATTTTATCAGGTTCCTCTCCGCCCAACTTTCCAGCCTGTCCAGGTCTCACTGACTGGCAGCATAGCCTTCTGGTGTATCCAGCACTCCTCCCAGTTTTGTGTCATCAGCAAACTTGCTGAGGAAGCTTTTTTCCGAGTGTTTGTGTTGTCTCACAAATGGAGTTTGATACCCGAGTGCAGCACTCATGTACACACAGACCCAAGATATCAGTTTATTTCATTTTTGTGCAGAGATGGGTGATAGGTGGTTACTCCACAAAGTTAGCACACCTGATTACAATCACATTGCATATTTACACAGTTAAGAATGTTATTTCCACCTGTTAGCCATACCCTCATAACTAAGACTGGTTAGTTCTCTTTTAGCTTCAGGCTGCAGACACAGTACTCCTAAAATTTACTACACATGTCCAGTAGATAAGGGTCTCTGCTTGGGTTGGGATCTCCAACTCAAGGGGTGTTATTTTTAGTACTATAACGAGGATCATTTTTTTAAGGCCACTCTTTATCATTCTTCTGCTGTTAGTTCCAACTTGTTCAAAAACATCTTGATTAGCTTATTTCTCCAAAATATACTTCCTTCCCAAACACAGTAGTTCCTGTTTAGGCACTCCTGTATCAACTATTCCTGTCAACATCTTGGTCTCCCATTAACCCTATGCATTCTTGTAAAATGCTGAGTTCAATTGACTACACTTCCTTCGTGCTTTGAAGAAATGTTGGTAATTATTGCTATCTATTTTCTCAGGCAAATAGAGAAGTGCTGCTTCTCTTGCTCTTTAAGCTTTTCCATATTCCGTGGCTTACTTCAGGTGAATGGTTTTCTCAGGGAAAGGCTTCTTCTGATCAGGATGGGATCATGTGGCTGTTTGTTTACTCTTTGTTAAAGTATTGCCATATATCTTAGAGTATATACTATGAAAATATTTTCTTCCTTGCACTAAATAGCTTCTGCATTATACTCTTGGAAAAACCAGTGATACAGACACTTCTACTTCTTTAGTGTAGAAGAAAATACACTGTTATTTTCTGAGTGATACATGTCACTAGTAAATATTTCCTGTCTACTTCTCAATAGTTCTCTTGCTGCCAGAAAGGAAAGAGTTTTAAGAACTTTCTCTTCATTGCCTTTTAGCAGATCCAACGGGTACTACAGGCAATGAAAACAAGTACAATATAAAATTTGGTGTTTAGCCAACAGTGAATTTTACCTAGCTATACAACATATATTTTACCTCTGAGAAAACTGTCCTCTCCTAAAGGGAAAGATGACATTGATACTGTTTTACAGACTTTTGTGAGCCTAATTGTTTTTCTGCAACAGTCAAGTAGACAAAAATTTAGTGCGGAGGGGGGAGGGAAAACATAGCATAAAGAATAATTTTATATTTATTGTCTATTGCTTTCTCCACTTCATAAAGTGAAGTTTTTTTATGACAATAACTTCTCTAATATCTACAAACACTATCCCCAGTACTTTTCATTCTGTGTATTTCACATCCTTTGTAACGATAAAATAATCAAATATAGATTTAGAGCTATTGCTGTAAATTGCAACAGACCTACTTTACCTTGATTAATGCACATTATTGTACTGTAAAAGTTGATACTATAGAATAATTATATTAAAAATTACGTAAAAATCAATCTTTGTTAAGTACAATCCTCATGCACTCTTCATAAATATGTTCATTTGAATTAATAACACAAACAATGTTGACTTTATTGACGTACTAATTGATCTCTTCTAATATGATTTGCTGTTTCTGTTGAACTTTAAATTAAGGAGTCCAATCCTTCAGGGTCTTACCTTTCCACCTTATAGCTATTCACTCCTGCCTTCTTGCCACATCTTCCTCTGCCCCACCAAAACTCTTAATGAGGAATTGCACAAAGCTCCAGTATGAAGAACAGAGGCACACGAGTGCAAATAAATGATGTGAGGGAGAAGATGGAAGCTGCTTCGTTCATCTTTAGTCATGGCTTATGCCATTTTAAAGTCCTGTGAAACATTTGCTTAAATCTCTACAGAGCATGTGTTTCATATGTCCTGAGGTTTTTTTTCCTCACAAAATCAGTATCATCAGGTTCATATAGAAACCAGATTGGATTTACTTTCAGTCTGGACAATTAAGTTACAAAATATAGCCTACTTTACCCTTTTGGCATGAATAAATAAGTTCCATATTGAAATTTTATACACATTAAAGAAAGTTTGATTTACTTACCTATATATCTTATCCTGAAACCTTTTTTATTGGTGCCATGATCTGCTGACCACCGGAGAAACACTTCATGGCCATTGCTGGTTATATTTAGAGAAGACGAATAGTCCCCACTGAGCGAAATGAGCAATGGGCTATGACTATTTGGTCCTGCATACAAGAAAGAAAAAAAGAAAAAAAAGAAAAAAAGAAAAAAAGAAAAAAAAAGGAGTTACAAAGTCTAAAATAACATGCAATAAATTATATGCATCCAATTAATATACATTAAACACTTCCCCAAGTAAATGGTAAATTAATCTGAATTAAAAATGGAATTTGACTTTACATGTTGCAAAAAAGAGTACTTCTTTATTCAGAAACAAAATTATTTCTAAGCATAATTAATGCAGTACAGTAATCTAACAGTTCTTTTTAGCACAACAAACCCAGATAACTGCTTATTTAAGATTTTTTATACTGACAATTTATGGTATACATTAAAAATAGTGATTACACACACACAATCTAAAATTACATATATAGAGAAAAAGTATCATCCAAAGTTGTAGATCCTATAGTTACCATCAAACACCTCAAGTATGTCAAATTCTTTTTCTGTCTGGAAGAATTCAAAGAACATGCTGATATTATAACCCTTTTCCACAGTAATGGTCCATGCACACATCTGGAGATTTGGGTAGCTGTCAGGATATCCAGGGCTCAGTATTACTCCTGTTGAATCCAGACGCATTTCATTGGCTGGACAGAGCACTGTGAAACAGAAAGATTGGTAGAAAAATCAAAAGACCACTCTTTCTGTTTCATGTGATTAGCAAGACTTTTCTGCGATTAAAAGACCTGCATTACTCATTTTATTTCCAGAAATACAGAAAGACTGACATTTTAGAAACAAAGCCAGTTAGAAAAAATATTCTAAAGCAATGTTAAGCTTGAAAATAAGGCCTGCAACCCTCGGAAGTTACCAGTTCATGACATATTTCTTCTTTCATCCTCTATTCTTCTTTCTCTTTCTATCTCTTCTAGACAAGACTTTTTTGTAGGCTGCGCTTCAGTACTTAATTATTGCATTGTTTAGAAAGTGAACCGCAGATTCCGCCCTCCCAGATTACTATTACTGTCAGCAACAGAATCACAGAATCACAAAATCACAGAATGTTTGGGGTTGGAAGGGACCTCTGTGGGTCTTCTGGGTCAGCTATCAGCTGAAGAAGAAACTATAAAATTCTGAAGTTCTTAATTGCTGACAGGCTTTTTCACAAATTTAACTCTAGGGAATAAGAACCGGAACATGCTTTACTCTTTTATCTGAAAAATTGCTGGGAGAGACTAGACCCCACAAGATGAGAATGTTTCCTGCAGGGTTAAAAGACACCTGCTCCTTCCGTGATGACTTCTTCAGCAGGTATTGCCTACCACACCTTCTCCTTATTCTAAAGAATTATTTTTTCTTATTTTCCAGATAATATTCTGAAGTTATTAATCTTCTACTTACAGCTGTGCTGGAAAATACATAGCAGCTCTGGCTATTCTTAATTGTCATAGCTTCAGGAAGGATAGAGGATGCTAGCAGGAAAAATGCTATTTTGTAAATAAGTTATCACCACTATTTAAAATAGCTGCTGAAACTGAGCAAAGTGATGTTTAAAAGTATCATGGACAGGCCTGATTTTGAATTTATCTGGATTCACCAAGTCTACAGAGAACAACAATCTCATTAAATAAAAGTATTTTATATTATCATGTTACTGCAACTTTTTTCAAGGACAAATTTTGCTTCATGATGTATGAATTAGTGCCTACAATTTATTCAGAACTGAACACTGCTAAACGGGAGCCTTGAAATCTGGTTTTGATATTCACAACTAACCCTTACACGAAAGTGAGTTAGTACTGAGCCATTTACAAGTTAAAAAATAAAATAATAGGATCTTAGATTTCTCAAAGAAATGAAAATCAGAGAAAGAGAGAGAAAAAGAATAATCATCTTCATAAATAACGCTCACAAGAATAATATAATCATATCATGGTTTGGGTTGGAAGAGTCCTTTGATGATCATCTCGTCTAACTCCTTGCTGCGGGCAGGGACATCCTTTGCTAGATCAGGTTGTTCTAAGACCCTTCCAACCCGACTTCGAAAAAAAGAAATTAATCTGTACATATATTTTCAAATAGCCATCTCTCACTTTCAAAATTAGTATCTAATGCTAAATTTAAAAAGTTGTTTCTCAGGCCCTGTATTTGTTTCAATTAATCAAGCAGGCATTCAATATAACATCTCCATTCCACATAAGTAAATTCATATGACTAGAATATGGCTGTCAAACTACAGTACTGGGCCACTTATGATACAGACTTTACATCTAGCAAATGAAAGAACTGATTCTCTCAAGCCTTATACGTACACACATATATATATATCAACACACTGAGAGGTGTGGCAGGAAGGCAGGAAGACAATCACAGTCATCTGGCTGCACTAGCTTAATTACAGCTAGTTTTGCTCTCCGTATAATTCTGCTTTGCAAACTGTCCTCAGTTTCAAGCTCTCCAGGTAAACATCCTTCAGGAATTTTATAGAGATCTAAAAGACCTGTTTCCCTTTCAAACTGGGTAGCTAAGTTTTTTCATGAATCTGAGTAAATGCATTTGAGGTGTAGCTCTGATACAGCTCAGAGTCATCACTGAAGAATTTTCTCAGGGTCCTCTAATTATGATGCAAAACACAGTTTCAATCTTCTTACTCTGAACCTTTCATTTTATCCAGAAAGTAGAATCTAAATTCAAGGAAAATTAAGAGCAAATTTACATGCTGCTTGTGGGAAATGATCTGTTTTAACAAAAGAAGATGATAGGCATTGGCATAAGCTTGTAGATGTCAGTGATTAATTTCTGATCTAAAGAACGAAATCTTCAAAAATTTTAAGAAATACTCACCCAACTGATACATGTTACAGATAAACAGAAAAAAAGGTGAATATAGTTTTAAAAGGTACTACATGTCGTGTAAACTAAACTGTGAAAATTAAAATCACAGAATCACAGAATGTTTGGGCTTGGAAGGGACCTCTGTGGGTCACCTAGTCCAACCCTCCTGCCGAAGCAGGGTCACCTACAGCAGGCTGCACAGGACCTTGTCCAGGCGGGTCCTGAATATCTCCAGAGAAGGAGACTCCACAACCTCTCTGGGCAGCCT